TCATTGTGACACCTCTCATTTTTTCTTGTGACAAACGAGAATCTCTGGAATAGAGACAGTGTAAAGCACATCTGAAATCTTTCGTACATTCAATCTTGATCAACAATACTTGTAGCATTTTCAGATTTAATCCTATATTCTCTGATCCTTTTATTTTCATACCAGTACTATTTACATACCCCACTAAATAAGGCTTCTTATGTCGTAAATCAAAGCAGCTTTTCAGAATTTATCTGAAGTTGTACAATCAACATTTGACGATAAGCCACGGTACTCACCGAGTTGATCAGAAGCTGGAAGATATGTCAATAAGAGCTGAGAAATTGTTAAACACAAAAACCGATGAATGTTTCAAAAACTAGCACTGTGAGGCTTCAGAAAATAAATTAAACTCATGGCAATGTTTTTGGTCCTAAATCTAGCATAGGCTTACAACTCAATAAAGACAACTATATGGAACTGAGAGAGAACCGGAATGCCATAGGCCTAAGCAAACGACTTTCAGCGTAAGAACCATGTTCACCAAAACACATCAAGTCCCTTTTTTTTAAAGATTCCGTTTGTAACTGAAACAGGAGTTCGTCGTCTGTTGCTACTAGTAGTTCTTACCATTATCAAGATCAACGTGCTACCGCAGGCTACTTCTTTATGGATCCACATTTTCTTGTTACATCAGGACAGCTCAAAAGATGTAGTCTGTTTTTAAGTCTACCATGAAATTCAAAGCATGTAATACTTGTTTCTCTTCTGCATGCAATGTTCCGTTCCTCAGACTCGTGGCCAAAAGGCAGCAGAGCAATTGACCAAATATTTAGGAAGTATGATCATCATTTTTTATGAAGGTCTGACAAAAGAGGTAAATCGATGAAGAACTAGTTGCGTTTGGATTTCCCGAGCAATATTGATTCTTGTTGTTTGTGAAAACGCAGATGTTGCCAAATTATGCATATGATTTTATAAATTCATGATTAGAATCATTCAGCTCTTCTTAATGCACTAATCAATTCCATTAGGGAAAGAAAACAAGAAAGACAAAAAGTCTATTGACTAAGACTGGTACTGTTTTGTAAACTTAATTTTTTAGGAAGCAATTGGTTTACCCGAGCAAAAAGAAAAACTCAACTGTATTGAGCTGATTGGTTTCAATACGGTTAGATTTTAACACAGAAAGGAACAGGTTTTCCTCATATTCAAAAGACTATTTTTTACAAAATTGCAGAATTCTGAATTACATTTCAAATAAGATTGTGGCGAATACACATTACACGCAAATTGACTGAATTGTACCCACCTGAAAAGTACACTAAACCACTAAAACACATATAACCCAACAATAGAAAGATTTCTCTCCTGTAAAATTTATGACAGAGTGTCTTCAGTAATTTTTAGTATTTCAGAAAAACTAAACTAAAACTTTGTATTCCAGAAAAGTCAATTTTACCGGTCTAAATGGGTTCCTTTTCAATATATTTAACCCCAAAGGGATGTCAAATTGTTTACCTGCACTGAAAAAAGGGTCGATTATAGGAGCACAAACTGGGCCTGAGAAAAAATAATTTCGTGGACCCTTTAAAGCAAGTAATTTTCTGTGTTTACACTTGTGATTGTGCTTGGACACTGGGCAAGTCGGGTCACGGGATCTATAACTAACATGACCAGAAATATACTTAAAAATATCCACAGATTACGACATCTGAGAGGGGGATCTGCCCCTCCCAATATTTACATAAATGCACATTACTATAGCTGCACAAAAATGTGTACCCCCTTCTCCTATAGCGACACCCTGTTGCATCCGTGTACATGAACCATCTCTGCTTAAACTGGTAGGTGAAGTGGTTCCAGTTGCTGTATAACTTTGTTTTCCATGGGTGCTGATGCGAAATTTCGGAGAAAGGTTTGAAATCCGTTCATCAGAAAACAAAACTACACACTTTAAAAATATAAAGGTTTTCTCCTGCTGTGGGTACAGGTGGATCACAAGTTGTCCTTCTAACTCTCAGGTTTTTTTTTACTCTGAAGTGAAATGTTTCCCAGAGTTTGTGTAAAAGCAGGCATTAAACAGAGACTTACCAGAAGCCCCATAGCAGTTGTCATAAAACGCAAATTCCAAACAGCAAACACAAGAAATTGAGTCTGAACAATAGAGTGCAATTTATTCTGCCACGAGGCTAAGGAATTTCTTCTCAGTTACTCTTTAAATATTGTGCTGGTTTTAGGCAATATAAAGCCACGTTTTATAGGGCCCCAGATTTGGAGAGGGTGTAGGCATAATAACTTTGAGATCTACAACAGAAATGCACATTTTCAAGCGGTAAAAATGAAAAAGTCTGTGTGTTTCGTATACTGCCAACTTCACCTTAAAATCTTTCTTTTTCCTTCATCTTTGCAAGGTGTTGCTCCGTCGTTTTACAGATATCTGCCGCGGGTGGGATTCTGCAACGTCACCTGTCATGGGGCTGGCTTGGCTGTAGACACCAGCCAGCTGACACCAGTGGAACGGCAGAGCAACCTCCAGACCTCTAAAAGGACTCACAGGTGAGCTAAGCTTTGTTTCCATCAAGACCATGGATCAGCCACAGATCATCAAGAAATTTGCACAGTTCCACAAAATAGACACTCTGTTGAATAAGGGAACTCATTCCCAGAGTTCATTTATCGTTTAAACTAAATTTCAACATGACAAATAGTAAGAAAAAGTACAAGATCGTCAATTAATTTAGGACAACAATTTGATGAAATGATAGTCAAGTACTTCAAGACCTGAACTACATATTTTCTGAAAAAGTAATAAAGGGGGGTCGAAATATTAACTACATTTGAATTCTCGAGGGGTATGCTTAGTTTAAGGAAGAGGGATGGAATAAAATTCAGATGCTCTGGAAAATCAGGTATAAAAGCTAAAAGGGTGAAAAGGTCTACAAAAGAATGAACAGGTGCACTGAAAAGGTGATGATGCTGATATGATAGTGTTGGAAGAAAAATATTTGAATCCAGGAGATACGCTTTATGAGGTAACGTGGAGACCCACGGAAGAGAGCTTTGAGTATTTATTCATCTTAAAAAGAAATGTTGCAGTTTGAGATAGTGTTTTTTCATTGTTGAAAGGATACGTACCATTTTCAGAACCCCCCTCCAAAAAAATTCAAGTCAAAACCAAATACCATATGTACAATTTTTTGGGTTGACAACCCTCGTGTCCATCTCTGCTGAAAGTGATGCCCTGATCCTTTCATGCCTGACAGCAACCTCACAAAGACCCAGCAACAAGGATGGAGGAGACGAAGAAGGGCCATCCAAACAGCACCTGCATTACAGGATGGAGAGAAGCCTGGCTGTTGGCATCTCCATCGGGAAGAGAAGATGTGAGGGGAGCCAGCCCACGCAACAGCAAGAGCAGGGAAGGAGGAAGATGAACGCTTAAGTTTAACACTACTCACGTCCAAGGAGGATACGAACACAAAAATCCACACACTCGAGGAAGGGGAGCCCCCTGGGTCTAGGCAGCAAGTTTAGGAGAATGATGATTACATCATCATATTCTTACGTTGGGCAATACTTGCTACAAGTGGCTCAACTACACAGACAGAACGTGAACATCTAAATTTTAAATGCAGGTATTTAGTCTCATCCAGAATCCCGAAGTCTTTACTCTGAACAGGTTCCAATTTTGTTGAGGTGGTAAAGAAAACATTGCTTAGAAGTGGTTGTACTTGTGCAGAGAAAAATTGAAAATAAGCAGGGAACCAGTCTCAAGTTTGCAATTTGTAAGATATATTTTCGCTGGCAACTAGGTTTTGCTCAGAAAATATGTTCCCACGCTCATCAGTTTCTGGCTTACCAAAGCCAGGAGGGTGACAGCAGATTTAAAAGTAACTTTTACTCTGTACAGTGGCTGTTAGGGTGGGTATTATTGAAGAAAGGCAAACGAAAAGTGATGCAAATCATGTCGTTTGAAGTGTTACAAAAATAATAGGTCTTTACAGCCAAAAGTGAACATTACATTATAACCGCATTAATTGCCAACCAAAAGCAGGTTATAGGAACGTAGCTTGAAAAAAGCCCTATCCCTCAGGATTACCACCTGGTTTGGTCCCCCATTTCGGGTGAAGCTTTACTATTAAGCAGGACTGGAGGCCCTTGCAACAGGAGAGTTAGATGTAAGGCAGCCAGTTGCAGATGCCGTTTAAGACAGGTGGTTCCAGTCCTCTTGCTCAGGACCGCCATGTTGTCCAGTTCACTAACCTGCACTGCTCAGCTTATAGAGCTTGACCAGTTCAGAACATCAATAACATGGTCTGAACTGCGTCTGAGAGGGTGAAAAGGAAGTCGGCCAAGATCGGTTGGTATATCACCAAAAGAGCTGGTGCTTTTTCAACTCTATTGATCCTGAGTTGAGGCATCCGAGGCATCCTTCTAATCTGCATCTGAGCTGACTGAAATAATGTAGTTTCCATAAAATGGGAATAATACCTGATGCGTGGTTCGACCAATGATGTTCGTAGAGTGTTTTTTCTCAGAAGAGATTTCTGGTTTTTACTTAATTCATGAATAATCAGGAATATTCAATTTTTAGTATCAAAAGACGGTAAAATCAAACATTTTAGGAATGAAATATTAATCGACTGGTCGTAAATGAAATGTGTCTATGTCTCAAGTAACATTGATTGGACATTTTCATAGACTTACAGAAGTTGTGTAGTCAAACGGTTACAATTTGTAAAAAGTATAAAATTATGATTTACTTTTTCAAGGATCAGTGTGGTATTGTGACTTTTATTTCAAATGCTTTAAACTTTGCAAACGGACTGCTTATAATGTCGGACGCCAGTCTTCATACTTTCCTCCATAACATAGTACGTAAGTCCACCTGGATTAGCCCATAATTTACATGTAGGTACACTGTCTGTGATTGTAAGCCCACGGTCATCCCTCACCTCACGATAATGTGTTTCAGAAATTCAGAATTATAAAAAAAGCAGAATTTAGTGCATAAAGTCTTTCAATTTTAGTGGGATTTTAATTGTATCGATATCTCAGAAACACAGGCTTCGTCGATGAAATGAATATACATGTACATGTATTGTTCAACCTACGTTAAAAACTGTGTAGATAATTACTTGCAATAAGATCAACGGTCTATTATCAAAGGTCTATTATATCAGCCTACTTTACTCATAACTTAGTCACCGTCTCGTTTGTTCATTCATTTGTGTGAATTAGCTCTTTTTGTTTGCTATTACGTGTACTCATGCATTGATGCGCTCTAGTCTGCGTGTACTTTTTCATTCCCTGCTTACCCTGAACAGCACTGAAACACGTGCACTTTAAAGTAGCAGTTCAACAGGTGCGTTGCGATTTTCAAAAAAAAAGAGAGTCACGTCATTGCTTGTGTATAAACTTGCCTAAAGGAGGCACCGGCGTTTATATTTTTGGATCCATAATAGATTAGATGTTTATTGGTGTTTTTATATTATTTTTGATTGATACAATAACTTAAAAGTAAACGTTTCTCACCATAGCCATTGTCCCAGATCCACGCCCATACCCCACTCAACCCAGCCTATATAGCCCAACCGCAAACCAGCCTGAAGGCTCATCTCACTCAGCCGATCCCCAAACTCTGCTTTCGTTCTAATCCTTAATCCTTAAACATACGGCCCAATGCGAAAGATCTATTTGGAAATACGCGGCGAAGCATATTTGGACACATCCTGTTCTTGTGGAATGATAGTGGTGTCGGGCTTACATTTTGAAAATGTCAGTTTTGTACAGATTTATAGATTTGAACATCGGATTTCTGTAAAGTTTTGTCGCATTGTCAGTTTGCTTGTTTATGCATTCGCCAAATTCTGTTACGGTATGTAGCTTCTAATGGATACTCGTAGAAATACAGTGCAGGAAAATAAGTACTAATAAAAAAGGAGGAATGTGGCCAAATACATGACATGCAGAAGGGTATGAAATATTCCGAGCATGTCAGAATTTAAACAATGTCGCATTCTCTTTGTTATACAAATGAGGTATAACCAAACCCATTAGTTATTTATACCTGACAGCCAAAAGTATTCAACTATGGTCCGAATATTATATGCTCTCCTTTGTTTAGGGAAACACACAAAAAACTAACATTTATGAGGGGTTTGAACAATTCTCTTGTTAACTGTATGGTAAGTATTAACTAGGCCTATAATAAATTCTTACTACGCAAAAATAAACCAACTGGCTATTATTCGGAGTTCCCCCAATGTTAAAAATCCAGCTATAGCTGATATTGAATCACAAGGATCATATAATTTCGAGTAAGTACAAATTTGGTTACAGATAGAACTTATACTAAACCCAATACTTTTATGCTTTTTTTTGACTTTTTTATCTCTCTATCAAACTTATGCACTCATTATTGTTTCATATTTACGCCGAATCGATAGCACGCGGTGGCTAGAAACTAAACTTCTACAAAACTATGATCTTCTGAAACTACAACTTCAACCGTAACTTCCATCATAGGCAAATCAACCAATGAAGAACTCATAAAATTCCTAAAGCTAGTAAGATTTCCGCTCGTCCAACCCATGCACATGAATCGCAGCTCTTTCTTTGATCAAATGGTGTATTTATTTGGTGAATATCCTTCTAGTTGTTAATCTCTAAGACGGTCAAGACCTTTTTAATCTAAACATTTCCGTTATTTAAGGATAAGTTTTATTTATTCCACCAAGAACGTAAGCGAGTGAAACCTTCTCCAGATGTGCTTATAATGAAATCAGCTAACTGCAGTGTTTTTATGCGTACAAAGATCATAACAAAACCCCTGATTTATTTAGCGCTGTTCTAGGGGTCGGTCCAGGAACTTCACGTTGACAGTGGGTATGGTCTTGATTTTGGCCAAC